AAAGATTTGAACCCTGGAAGCTTTACCCACCCCAGCCCTGCCAGTGTGGCTGGGACTTGGGCTGTCCCAGCAGGTCAGGGCAGGATGGACAGGCTGGAGAAGCTCTTTTTGATTTGATTTGAATCAATTTTTGTTCCCGCTGCTCCTCTGCGGAGCCCTGGCGATGGATGCTCCTGCCCCGACATGCTGCCTTCACTCCTCTCTCCACCTCATTAGTTTTCCTTTGACTGCGGTTGGGGGGGAGCAAGGTACACATTAATTAGACCATGGCTTTAATTACCCTTCCTTCAGCAAGGTGGGGTTATACAGAAGTGGAATAATTATCAACTAAATTCTCGGCTGCTTTTTTTTATCTTCTCCCATATTGATTGTGGGCTCTCTGCCCCAGCGCTGGGATCGCAGCCGCCCTGATCACAGCCCCAAATCAGCCTGAAAATCCCCTTTTATCGCCCAACTTCTCTTCTCCTTTTTAAAATGGTAAGTGGTTGTGGAAATTCACCCTGCAGCACTTTCTGTTCATCTCCTGAAAGCCTTTGATATGGCTATTAAATGCAATAAATTAAAGTACCTGAGTTTTCCTAGGAAAAAAAATGCCTGTAACAGCCATTGATTTACCAGGGTAAATACAAGTGTCACCAAGGATTAAATTCAGCACAACTAAAATGGTACGTGAAGGGGTTTTTTGGTAGGGTTTTTTTTGTTTTTTTTTTCCAGCTGCACGCCAGCCCCAGCAACACCCTAACTCCCCTAAAACATCTCTGCAGAGGCACGGCGTGGGGACGCACATGGCTGCGTAAAACCCATCAGAAGGGTTTCACGGGTCAGAAAGAAAAGGAGAAACTGCTTCTCCTTGGCCTTGCCTGGGTTTTGGTGGGGGTGACCCAGGATCTGGAGCTGGAGAGGGGACACAAGCGGCTGAAAACCAAGGGGACAACCCTGCTGTTGGCAAAACCTCCCTAGAATTAGTAAATTGGGTTTGTTGGGGTATTTTAAGGCATTTTATGGCACCTCTTGCAATGATGATTGGGGTGGTCCAGGCACCAGGATGCTCCTCAAGGCCCGTGGGGGACCCTGCTGTTCCTCAGGGCTGGCAGGACGCTGTGGATTTGGCTGCACCCCGCGGATTCGGGGGCTGCAATGAGCCCACGTGCCATCAGAGGGCACCGAGCCCCCATGCAAGCGAAGAGTAGAGTCCATAAAGCGCCATCGCGGTGCTTAATTCCCACTCCCCGCATTACAGCCGGTCATTAACGCGACCTTTATTAAAGTTTGCTCGGCGGCTGAGCCTCGACGCGATCTTCTGCCGTTAATTAGCGGGCGGCGGGACGCTCGTTAGCTCGCCTTCCTCTCTCTGCCATCGCCGGGTAAGCACGAGCGCGCTAATGGAAGTTAACAAAAGTTAACTCCATTACCAATATTAATGGGGATTATGAATGCGGACGTAGCAGGGGAGAGGGGAGGAGAGGGAAGTACATGAAAAAAGAGCAGAAAACGTCCGAGCGCAGGGCCACGAGCAGGTGACGCGCTTGCAGATGCTGGCACAGGCAGGGGATGCTCCAGCACCGTGCACAAATTTTTTTCAGAGCTGTGGTTTCCTCCAGCTGGGCTCCACCACCAATATGCTTCGGTTGCTGCCATGCAGATGGCCGGTGAGAAAGCCACCCCGTTACTGACGCGTGCCCACCGTTCCCCTCCTGCCAGTGCCACTGGATCCAAGGGCCTGATGTCGGGGATGTCGTGCCAGGACTTAATCCTGCCTGGCAGTGCTGGGCACAGGCAGCCGGCACCATCCCAGGACCAGTGCACACTGCAGTTGGGCCTTGGGGTTGTGTAAAAGCCATCTCTGGTCCCCATGGCCAAACCTCGCCGGTCCCTCCCAGCTCAACGTGGCTATGGGATGTGATGAACCGCATCCCCGATTGACTGCCACTGCTTCTTGCCTCAGTTTCCCCCACTGCAAAAGGCAGTGACCCCCTTTCATATGACGAAGCACCACATCAGTTTTGCCATGCTGACTCTGATCACCAAGGCAGTGCATCCCTGTGCAGCAAAGTGACTTCTCAAGGTCACTCAAGGCTGGGAAATGGTGTTTAAATTATGAAAATAGCGGCCAGCTCCAGTGCCGTGCCTCCTAATCCCCTGCCTGCTGGAGCACTCCCTTATTTAGCGCCGCCAAATGAAGCCTCTTTCAGCTGGGATGTGGAATCCGACAGACCGGATATTAAATTCTTTGCTTTCATTAGCGGAGACAATATGTTTTTTAAAACGCTGCTCTCTCCGGAGCCCCTGGCCGGGTCCCTGAGCATCCATCCAGACCTGGCAGGCCCCTCAGCCTGGGCGAGGTGCCTCCCCCCTCCCTCGCACCATGTTTAATTATAACGTTTCCCGCTTGTTGGGTAATTGGATGCCACTCAACAGCACTCAGAAACTCATGTGGGTCAAACCCTACCAGGGATGAGGGATGTTGTTTAATAGATTCCTGAGACAGCGGCTTCCTCTGCTCCCAGCGGGGACTGGCTGCCGGCGAGGAAACAAGCACACAAATAAAAAAAAATCCGCTGGGATTTCCCAGCCGGCCAAGGGTTTATCACCCTCAAACACCAGCTCCTGCCTCCACGTCCCAGACACGTGAGCTCCTGCCCAGTGCCTGCACTGCCCAGCCCACCTCTCCCCAAAATGCTGATGATAAAGCGGCATCCCCTTGTCCCACCTCTCCCCAAAAATGTTGCTTTTCGCATGGGCAAAGGTGGTGGCGGGGTGACGCCAGCGTGCGGTATGCCTGGCTGTCTTCCTCACATCCTTCCTTTCTTGGGAGCTTGCTGTGGCAGACGCCAGCTTCTCTGTGCTCCGACAGCGTGGAGTACCCCAGCACCCGTCACCCCTAAAGCTGTTACCTGCGTTGAGACAGCTCAGTCCTGGGCAATGTCCAAACCTCACGTTGGTCCAGCTCCACCATGACCCCAAAAAGCCCAAGCCATGACCTTGCAAAGCTCACCAACACTTTAATGGTGATTTTTTTTTTTAACATGTGGCTCTTCTTGGACTCATGATCCCAAGGGTCTTTCGAACCTGAATGATTCTGTGATTCTTGAGGGGAGACCTCCTGGCCCTCTGCAACTCCCTGCCAGGAGGGGGCAGAGAGGGGGGATGAGTCTCTGGAGCCAAGGAGCCAGCGCCAGGCCCCGAGGGAATGGCCTCAAGCTGCCCAGGGCAGGGTCAGGCTGGCTCTGAGGAAGGATTTCTGTGCAGAAGGGGCTGTTGGGCGTTGGAATGGGCTGCCCAGGGCAGGGGGGAGTCCCCGGGATCCCTGGAGGGGTTGAAGAGTCGGGCTGAGCCAGCGCTGAGGGATCTGGGGGAGTTGGGAACGGTCAGGGTGAGGGTCATGGTTGGACTGGAGGAGCTTCGAGGGCTTTTCCAACCCAGGTGATTCTGTGATTCTGTGATTCTTCTCCCTGGCTGGAGGAAGCATGGGCATGCTGTCCTGGTGCCCAAGCTGTGAGGGCTGGTGCCCGTGGAAGGTGTCTGCTGCATGGGAAGGACGTGCCCTGAGCCTCCCAGGCCAGGCCGAGTGTTGTGGAGGCGCAGCCCAGCTCTGTTCCAGACCTTGTGCAGTCAGAATATCCCTGGGGTAAGTGGAGATAAGCCTGGATCTGCCAGCTCAGGGGTGTCTTGTGCTTCCCAGGGCTGCAGTGGCACTGGCTCAGTGGCACTGGCTCACTTTCTCAGGGAGAAAGGCAGAGAAAACGATGCTGTCACAGCTGGGCTGCAGATAGAAATGAGCCTCGCCCTGAATTTCACCTCTGCTTTTTGACTTTTTCTCTTCCATGTGGATCTGAGCTGAGCTCTCAAGTGGGAAATGTGTCCAGTGTCGATCTGCGTGCTGTGGACAAACTGGGACCAACCCTTGGAGCAGAGGGGTGGATTTCAAGACAGAGACAAGAAAGAAAAGTGAGCAAGGAAAGGATCATCAACCTGTCTACTGGATGCGTTATTTTGGCTGTTCCATCCCAAATATGAACCACAGGTGATGCCCTGGTTTACTCAGCCACACTGGACCCTCTTTGACTTGGGATGCTCCTGTCTGCTGGTCACTTTGGGACAGTCTCTATCGTGATTGCTCCTGGCAGTGGGGATGGCTCCTTTAGGCTCCATTTCACAGCCCCATCTCACAGATGAGGAAACTGAGGCACGGACTCTAATCAGCCAGAAATAAAACCCAGCCACCCAGCCATGATAACAGAGAAGATCATGCCACGTCTGAGCTGACGACGCTCTTCAATCCCCTGATCACAGACCAGGCTCAGCCGAACTGACGTGCTGATGTGATGCAACCCAGCAGGAAAGAGAAAACTGCCCTTGTTATTTCTTCTTTCCAGGATCAGACCCTTTAACGGGCTTTTTTGCCTCCAGCCACTGGCTGCTGTTTGCTCTCTGGCCCCTGCAGGCTGGCAGCCTTTCCCCTGCCCGTAGGCAGCGCCTGGCAGAACAGCTAATAGGGGCGGGGGGGGAGACGGCGCTGAGCAATGTGAACATATGCAAATCAGACAGCATGACGTGTATCCTAAGGTGTTAATGAATTTATAGATGCATGAATAATTATTTGTGAAAAGCACGGAGAGCTGCGGAGGTCACAGATGGCTGGAGAATAACAAATGCATTATCATTTACGGGGGAAAAGAAGAGTCATGCTGGCACTCTGCAGCCAGAGACGCTCCAGCAAGGCACAGACACCGTGGGAAATGGAGGAGCAAAGCCACCATCCGTGGTGCAGAGGGTGGATCTCCACTCCTGAAGCTCGGCAGGAGCAGGTTGGGCTGTGCTGGACCTCAGGGACTCGGCCAAGGGTCTGGGCTGGGGAGCGAAAAGGCTGGTGGGAAGCAGCAAAGTGTTGAGCAGAGGGTTTGTGAGCGCAGTCTGCTTTTCGTTAACGTCTGCATTAATGATCTCTCCGTGCAAGCCCCCAGCATGTTAATGAAATTCGCAGTTGATATTAAACTGCAAGGTGTTACGAACATCATTGAGGGCAAGGAGGTCGTTTCAAAGGACACCACTGAGGTTGAGCCTGTGCTGGAAGTATCACAAGAAGCTTAGGGAAGGCAAATGAAGAAGCAGCGGGGGAAATAATGCTGGTACGGGGAGGAGGGAGAGCAGGAAAGAGAAATTTAGGGGAGAACTTTGTAGAGTGGGGCTGATGGTTGGACTTGATGATCTCAAGGGTCTTTTCCAACTTGAATGATTCTGTGATTCTATGAAAGTCTTGGAGTGAGGGTGGGGAGCAAGCACAAGGTGCCGTGCATTGCCCCCCCGCTCCTGATGGAGAGGTCTCATCACTGCTCATTAGCAAGGATGAATTTTTTAAACTTGATCCATCATTTCACTGACAAACTCAGAGCCTCTTCTTAGGAATCTGTTCAGTGTCTGGAGCCTGGGCTCTAACGGCCAGGGGAGGATGCTCACACAGGCTGTTGGAAACAGCGAGGAGGGGGATAAGGGAGAGCTGGGGTCCCTGGGGACCCTGAGCAGAGAAGAAATTGAGAAGTATTTGCTGGGAATGCTCTTGCCAAGGGAGATGGGGATGGGGAGGCTCCAGTCCGGGCAGGGGAGGGACTTTAATGTCTCCTCCCTGCCAGGTAGGAGATGGAAGAGATGGTCCATAGTCTCTGACCAGGTTGCTGGGTGGATTTGGCACTAGCCAGGAACTGTGGACCATCTCTTCCAACTTCCTCAGTAGTGTTGACCCAACAATGTTATTTCCAACTGACGTGTAATGCTCTGTCATGTTGTATCCAAAAGGGCTCGACTTTGCCTACCTTGTTTGCACTTAAATAGCCCCTTTATACTGTGCTGTAACCAAACCACCCCTCAGAAGCCTTGCTGATGAGCCAACACACAGGAGCTCTGTAACCTCTCCCCGTACAGCATTTTTTTTCCTGGCTATTGAATAAATGTTGTCATTTTTTTCTGCACCATTCCCATCCTGTCACCATCCTTACTGAAATGTGCACAGCACAGCTCTGCTCTAGTACCAGCCTCATCAAGGGCACATGATGTGAAATCACATTCTGGCTCTGGCAAATAACCCAAGAAATTCCCCACAATGTCTTGCAAGATCTTGTGCCTTGGCATCCCGCTGCAATCCTCTTCCTCATTAACTCATCAGGGGTAAATGTTCCTTGTATCTGTCCTCTGCTGAGGCTTTGTGCATGTGTCCTGCTTGGTGGTTATGGTCTTGAGTGGCATTTGGGCTGATCTCAGGGCAGTCCCTCCTCTGGAAGCCAGCTCTGGGCTTGGTGCTGGTGATTGCCATCGATACAGATGGGTCGTACAGAGAGGAAGCTCCTCGTTCCCCTTCATCTCAGCAGATTGCTCCAAACCTGAGTCCCAGACTCCTCTGTCTTTCCACTGAGAGAAGCCTTGTAAATCCTGCTGTGGATCTGCAGACTGCTCAGGGTGAAGCTCAGTGCTGGGATAATACTCCAGATCTCTATCTCCTCCTTCTCATTTCGAGGCTCCCTCACTGTCCATGTGCACGGTCAGCCAGCGGTTTTGCCCACTCTAAAGTGCTCAGCCTTGCCTTTCCACCAGTAATTTATTGTACAGCGTTTGCAGGCAGGACGTACTGACGCTTACAGGTCTGCCCAAAAATCAAGGGTTAGAGCAGGAAAGAACTACCCAGCAGCCTAGAAAGCAGCCTTTTCAATGCCTTCTCCCTTTCCTATCTCTTTTCTCTCACCTTTTACGGCCACTCGCCTTTCTTTGCTGTTTGTTTGTCTTCTATTTGTCACCGATGATGTGACACCAGCAAGAAGAAGTGAAGGCACACTGGGGCTGAGACACAGAGACCAGTGACACCAGCAAGAGGAGCAGCCCATGGCTGGGCCGCATGG